TTTTTGGTAGATATTCATCTGTTTCATACAGGTAGGTTCTCCAATTGATTTATGTATGATTGCTCATAATACTCCCTTGCATTATTTAAGTGCATAGGATATGCAGTAGTATCCCAGGTTTACTCATTATCTTTGTAATTTGTGTCTTCTACCTTTTTGAGATTCAGTCAGGTCAACCATGGATAACATTGCTTATTTTTTTTCTACTATTTTGTCTAGCTGAAAGTTACTTATGAATTAAAACAAACCTCATTTTTCTTTCTCTTTAACTAATACCCACTCCTTATTTTATTTCCCCCCTTATGTGACCTTTGGGTTTAGTATGCACTAGGACTTGTAGTTTTACAAAGTGGATGCTTCATTCTGTAAAGATTTTAAGGTTAGTGACACAGGACTTATGTGGTGGGATGTCTTTCTGTATGCTGTGAATATGTGGCTCCCATTGGATAATAAATAAAGCTGTTTTGGCCTATAGCAAGAAAGCTTACAGCCTGGTAGGAAATCCAAGCAGAGATACAGAGAGAAGAAGGGCGGAGTCAAGACAGAAGCCAGCTGCCCCCAAAGGAGCAACAAGATGCCAGCAGACCAGTAGTGCTACAGCCACGTGGCAACACATAGATTAATAGGAATGGGTTAATTGAAGATGAAAGAGCTAGCTAGCAAGAAGCTGAAGCCATAGGCCATACAGTTTGTAATTAATTATAAACCTCTGAGTGATTATTTTATAAGCAGCTTTGGGACCAGAGGTGGGAGAGATTTGTGCAGATTGTGGGGCAGGGTGGGACCAAGAAACATCTGGCTACAGGGCCTATATATTTTATCAGTTTTGAGGAAGATATTGCTGTTTAATTCAGGATGTTCCCAGACACAATTCTTCTGCTTATGCCTCTTTAGTAAGAACATTTTATTTTTATTATTAAAAATTGTTTCTTTTAAAATTTATCTTAAACTCTTTTGTTACATATAAAAAAAGAAAATGTCAAGTATATATAACATAATATACTCTAGTCACATGTATGAGATCTCCAGAAATTATTTACATTTTTTAAATGAAGATGTCCACATTACTGTCAAACATAAACAGAATGATCTTTAGGACAGACTTTTCCTAAAACAAAAAGAATATGTACCTTTCTGTTGCAAAAGAGTATCCTATGGATATGTATCCTGTGTAGTTGACATACACATTTTCTTTTTTTTTTTCTTTTTCTTTTTTTTTTTTTTTTTTTTTGGTTTTTCGAGACAGGGTTTCTCTGTGTAGCTTTGCGCCTTTCCTGGAACTCACTTGGTAGCCCAGGCTGGCCTCGAACTCACAGAGATCCGCCTGGCTCTGCCTCCCGAGTGTTGGGATTAAAGGCGTGCACCACCACTGCCCGGCCACATTTTCTTTTCTAATTTGAGGACCAATTTTTCTTTCTTTTTTTTTTTGTGTGTTTTCTGTTTTGTTTCTTTCAAGACAGGGTTTCCCTGTGTAGCTTTGGTATTTTTCCTGGAACTCAATTTATAGCCTAGACTGGCCTTGACCTCACAGAGATCTGCCTGCCTCTGCCTCCCAAGTGCTGAGGTTAAAGGCATGCACCACCACTACCTGAGGAGGACCAATTTTTCTATTGGCACACAATAGCCCCAAATGACTATCACATAATTCTTTTTGTATTTTTTCTGGTTTTGAGATATTTCCTTAGTAGTATCTCTGAGGATTATAATTAACATCTAGGCTTATTACAACCAAGTTCAGATTAATAGTGATGCTATTTAATTTGTACACAAATATTTATTTCTATGGCTAGGGATGTACTTTAGATGGTAAAGCACTTGCCAAGCATGCCACGTCTCTGAGTTCATTCTACAGCATCAAAATTTCTCTGTAATTTGGAAATGGAAGCAGGAGGATCAAAAAAGTTCAAGGTACTTCTCAGTTACATAGAAAATTCAAGGCCAATCTGAACTAAGTAAAATACTGTTTCAAGACAAAACAAAACAGTAACATGAAAAAAATGAAACAAAACAAAAAATAATTCTGTGTATCTTCCTTTTCTTTTCTTCTCTTTTCTTTGTGATTTTGTTATCATACAAGTAGCATTTTGTGTATTTCATCCATATTGACACAACAAAGTATTGCTTTATGCATTATTCTATAGTCTTTTATATGTAATTTTAATTTTTATTTAAAATATATTTTTTTCATGATATATTCCAATGATGGTTCCCTTCCCCCAAGTCCTCTTAGATCCCCTACCTCCGTAAGCATCCCAATCCATACCACTTCTTCCTCTCATTAGAAAACAAATCAGCAGCACACACATGCACGTACACACACACACACACACACACAAAAAAGAAAAACAACCCATAATTGGACAAAACAAACACAAAAGAGTGCTAAAGAAAAAGCACAAGAAGCACAACATACAGATGCACTCAAACACAGAAATCCAATCAAAACAGAAGATTGGAAACCATAATATATAAGCAAAAGACCTGTAAAGTTAAAAAACAGAAACAAACAAAACAAAATAACAACAGCATAAAAACCCAAAGCCCAAGCAATATGACACAAAACCCTTCCCTTTGTTTTGTGCTGGGCATCTACTTCTGGACATAGGAACTGCCCTTAAGTGTGGTTTGATTACCCAGTGAGTCTCCATTGGAAAAAAACTAATTTTTTTTCAAGTGGTTACCAATTGGAGATAACTTTTGGCATAGGGATTGGGGCTTGTTTCCACTTTGTCTCTCAGTCCTGGGACCCTATTTGACTTATACCTGTGCCCTGTGCATGCTGCCTTAGTCTCTGTGAGTTCATGTGTGTGTCAGTCCTGTTGTGTCTAGAAGGCCTTGTTTCTTTGGTGTCCTCCATTCCCGCTGGCTCTTACAATCTTTCCATCTCCTGTTCCACAAACTTCCATAAGTCCTTGGGGAGGGATTCAATGGAGTCATCCAAATTAGGGCTGTGTGCTCAAAGGTCTCACTCTTTTCACTTTGTCCACTTATGGGTCTTTGTATTTGTTCCCATGTCCTGCATGAGTAAGTGTCTGATGATAGTTGAGCAAGACACTGATCTATAATTATGGCAGAATGTTGTTAGGAGTCATTTTATTGCTATATTCCTTCAGCATAACAGTTGTATTTGGTTTTCCTCTATGCCCATGGTCTATCTAGTCTCTGGTTCCTGGCCACCTGAGCAGTGTCAGGCATGGGCTCTATCTCAGGAAGTGGCCCTTAATCTAGCCAGATAATGGTGACTCTCCCAACTTTTGTGCCACTATTACACCAGTCCATCATGTAGGCAGGTCATCATTGTAGATTGAAAGGTTTGTAGCTGGGTTGATGTTTACCTTTCTGTTCTGGTACTGTGCAGAATATCTTCCAGTACCATGAACACTAGTCAGGAAGGGTGAAGGCTCTAGGTAGTCACCAGCTTGACTTCTCCATGTTCAATGAGTTATGGATGTATTGCCTTTGGCAATAGGGCCTTGCCATGATTTTGGGGAGAGCAATCAATAGCCTTGGTAATATCCTGAGTTGTTTGGGGGTTTCCATAGTGCTCCTTTTGCAAACAGTTCAAGTGGGCATAACCCATTCTTGGTATTGGAAGTTTCATTAGGTGGTGACAGAAGTCTAGTGAGGGCATTGTCTCTGTCATTATTAGGTGACTCCATTAAGATATTTTTAAGAACTTCTACTGTAGTAGGTTTCTACATGGCCCCTCAAAGGACACTTAGTTTTAGCTGTCTCTCCCTGTATCGCCTCCCTTACCATTCTCTTCCCTCCCTCTTCTGTTTAATTCTCCCATTCCAGCCCACCCCGCCCAATCTATCATGTACCAGTCTTAAGGCTTGCATGATTTCTGATCATCAGTGCACTCTTTTTTTTCCTTTACTGAGAATTCATTGTATATAGCAAGTCAGTCTTCTCTTGCTACTTCAAAGGTTGGTCTTTTTATCTTTTGGTAGTTTGGTGATCTCTATTAGGATCTCACTGGGCTTTTCATATGAGGAAACCAATTTATTTCATTCAGTTGAGAAATGTTTCAGTTAATAGTTCTTCAGTAGCACTTTCTGCTCATTTTTTAAATTCCTCCTTTCCAGGAACCTATGTTCTGCTTTTATTAAAATGTTTAAGAGCAATCCTTAAGGTCTCTTAGGGGTTTTGTTCATTTTGTTTTACTTTTGAATCTGTTTGTTCCTCATAAGTGGTAATTTTCATTAGTATATCTTTAGGTTCACTGATTTCTTCCCCACACAAATTTTGTGTAAAGTTCTATTTATCATTTTCCATTTTACTTATGGCACCGTTTACCTCAAGCTTATTTGAATTTTCTTTATAAAAATGACTCCTTTACTTTAGTGAGAGATTTTTTTTGGATGCCTATGACTAGTAAGCCTTTCATTTCTGGGAGTCTGTGTTGTTATAATAGGCTATAAATGCAGGCCAGCGAATGATTTTTCCTTCACTGGAGTCTATTCTTTGCTTTTACAGTCTTAAAGTTTAGCCAGTAGTTAAAGATTAAAGCTTATTTTTTCAATTAATTAATTAATTTTGTCGTGTGTATCTTGTTTTAAATTTATAGTTTTGTGCAGGCCATACAATGCAGTTCCTTCACTTTAGGGATGGGTGTTTTATAAGGCAGAACTGAAATTTAGGGATGGATAATAACATGGAGAAAACACTTATCTGGGCAGAATTAATTTGAATAATTAGAATTGTTTCAAGGGAAGAATGGATTACTTTGTCAAATATTTTATGGGATACCACATAATATATCCTTCATGATGTATTGTAAGGCAAATGGATTTTAAAGTCTATTATAATTATAAATTTCCCTAAGACTGTATTACTTTGGTGTATTCTAAATCCCCACAAAATTTCACTGCTGGTATGTTTTCAGGAATATATTTGTAACCATTTGTATTAGTGTATAAGCAAACATTATATTTTCAAGGAATTCTGAAGTGGGTGTATTTGACAGGAGTGCAAATGTGTGTGCTTTTTCTGTACAGACATATCTTGTTGTCCTTATAGACATACGGAGTGGAACAGTGGCTACCAGAGCCTTGGAAGGGAAGGATTCAGAATGGATACGGAAAGTTGGCAAAAAGTATAAAGTGACAAGTTCTGGTATTGTATCTCACAATAGGGTTACTATAGTTGACAATGTATTATATATATTAATATAACCACAAAGGATGTTTTTAATTATTTCACCATAAAGAAATGTTGACATATGAGGTGATCATTAGATAATGTATATGTTAGTCAAAATATATTATACCCCATGAGTATGTATAATTAATACATATGACTGAAAAATTATGAAAAGAGATATACTCTTCAAATGAACTCAATGAATTCAGATTGCCTGTTTTTTTTCTTACTTGTAACATTTGGGTTAAGGATAGGCTAATTTGTATTAGAATGATCAACTTTTATCTTAGAGTTACATATTGTCTTAAAGAAGTTGAAATTAAATAGTATCAAAATTGAGGACAATTTGGAAAGTTGAATCCAATTAGTGTTTTTGTAATGGAAACAAGTAAGGAATAATTGTCTTTCATTCAGTGGACTAATTATATCTTTCCCCAAGCTGATCTTTTTAGTTACAAGGCTATGCTATTGAGATTCATATTGTTTAAAATAATTCATGCATTTCCCTCGTGTCATTTAAACTTGTATATACATGGGATGTCACCTCAAATATGAAATGAGTTTATTTTATGGTACTAAGATCCAGAAGATGTAGCAGGCTTTTTCTGTGCTGCCACCAGCTCCCAAATAAAGACATGGGGACTTATTATTAATTATGAATTCTCAGCCTTAGTTTAGGCTTGTTTCTGGCTAGCCATTTAAACTTAAATTAAAATGTTTCTCTTCATCTGTATTTTGCCTCTGGGCTTTGTACCTTTCATTCTGTATGTCTTACTTTTCTGCTTCCTCCGTGTCTGGCTGGCTGGAGGCTGCCTGGCTGACTGGCCCCAGGCATCTTCCCTCTTTCAACCTCATTCTATCCTCTCTCCTCCTATTTTTTCTCTCTACTCACCAGCCCTACCTATCCCTCTACAGCCTAGCTATTGGCCATTCAGCTTTTTATTAGACCAATCAGGTGCCTTAGGCAGGCAAAGTAAAATAGCAACACATCTTTACATAATTAAACAAATGCAGCATAAACAAATGTAACACATCTTTACATAGTTAAAGTAATATTCCACAACAAAAAGACACAAATATTAATATAATAATGGTTTGGTTGAATAAAAAGCTAACTGAAAGTTTATGCAACTCCCAAGTTATAGTTAACATATGTTCAAAGAAAGGAATGAGAAATGGGCAATATGTCTATTAAGTTCTGAGACAAAAGATTGAGACTAAACTTCTTAGTACACTTTATACCTGTTCCTATTTACCTTGCTAGCCATAAAACAAAAAAATAAAAAACAAACAAACAAAAAACCCTTGGTCTTTCAAAGACAAAAATAAAATGAGAATACAGTCAAGGCAATTCCTGAAGTGCTTAAGTCTTTCTGTTCATTTGAGAGCTTTCCTTTACTTAATCATCCTTTTTTGAAAAAGAAGCAAACTATGATGAAGACAAGTAATTTCCATGGTCATTAGATAGAGGTTTGAATATGGACTTACCAGGTAGAGAAATAATCTGGAAAGATTAAGTTAAAAAGAAGAACTGTGTTCTCCAAAATTGTAGAAAAAAGTTTTTTTAGATGCCTGAATATATTCTTTCTTATTAAATTAGAGCAGCTCAAAAATAGAGTGGAAAGGGAAATTCCCATTCATCCATGCTACTCAATTACCCCTCCTCTCTATAAAAGTATATTCTTCTAGTATATTTATATGAATTTGCAAGAATGCTTATATATGTACAGCTTATTATGTAGTGTGCTAAGTAAAACTGCCCAGTTTGAACATTTTAATTATGAACTACAGTTATTTGATCATACGTGCTATGCTACTGTGCTGGCCTATGATATGACTGAGATATCAACTAAGCTCAGAGTTGGGTGACCTACACAATATGGATATCTTGCATAAAGAAATGATTCTTGTCTCAGGTGGGCCAGAGTGGTATAGCATAAGATTTCATTTTGCTATTAAGAATGGCATACTATGTAAAACATTACTTATTTCTTCAATTTTTCATGTAATACTTTGGGGCCACAGTTTAACACAATCAAAACTATGGAGATTAAATTATGGATAACAGGTGGATATTGTATTATATACAGTAGTGTAGCAAAGTCTATTTTCCCCCTGAAATAAGTGTCCTGATTTATAATTCACAAACATTGAACTAGCTTTTAAAACTTTATTGTATGTACCTCAGTGCCACTTAAATGTTTATCCTCTGAAATAATATTACCTCGATGCAGTGAATATATAGCAATCTTAAAAACATCCTTTGTATGTGTTGTTTTCAGAGTGTATTATATTTAGCCTTCAGCACTGAACATAATCAGTGAAATTACACTGTGATGTTGTAATAAATAACAAAATAGAAATATGTGCCAAAGTGTTAACGAACATTTTTTTAAAAAATTGTTGTTAAAGTTTTTTTATTTTTTGATATTGTTGTTAAGAAAAAGAACATGAAGTTGGTTGGGTATGGAGATGAGGGAGGACCTGAGAGGATTTTGGGGAGGGGACAAAATATGATCAAATGTATCATAGAACATTCTCAAAATTTAACAAATATTTAAAATATGTTTTAAAATGAGATTCAGAAGGGCTGAGAAAATGGTTCAGTGGAAAAAAATTCCTGCTTTGCAAGAACAAAGACTGGAATTTAGATTACTGGAATACACAGAAAAACTTGAGCATGCATGATGACTGCCTGTAATCTGAGCAGTTTGACAATAGAGACAGGGATTCCTGGGGCAACCTGGCTAGTTAGACTAGCCAGGATTATTGATCTCTGAGTTCCAGTGAGAGACTCTCCTCAATAACTTAAGTGAAGAGTGATTTGGAAAGATGTTAGACATCTTTGCACTTTGCCCAGAGACTTAGGCAATTTTGCACCGTCACTCACATGTGCACATACATGCATGGTCATTTGCATATGCACACGTGCAAACACATGTGAAAATGTTTAAGATGTACCCTCTTAAAATTTGAAACACACACTACAGTGTTGTTGAACAACAACTTACCGTTTCCCTTGTCTGACTGTCCCTGGAAACTACCATTCTACTTTCTGCTTCACTGAGTTTGGCTATTTAGGTATCTTATGTAAATAGAATCATGCAATATTTGTTTTTCTGTAACTGGGCTATTTTATTTAGCATAATGACCTCCAGGTTTATTCATGTTGTAGCATTAGACAGGATTTCCTTTTTATGACTGAATAATAGTACACTTTGTATGTAACACGTGTTCATTATCTATCCTAGCATTGATGGGCCTTCAGCTTGTTTCCACCTCTTAGCTATTATAAATAGTGCTGCATGAATATAATAATTCAAATCTTTTTTTGAAAGAGAAATGGATTTCAGTTCTTTTGGACAAATGCCCAGGATTAGAATTGTCAGATCATATAGAGCTCTATATTGAATTTTTGAAGATGAGTCCTATTATTTCCCACAGCTTTATCACTGTTTTATAATCATACCAGGGATACACAGAGACTCTGCTTTCTCCACATCCTCATCAACACTAAACTGTTTTTTTTTTTTCTGTTTGATAATGGCCATACTAACATATTTGAGTGCAGGGTCATGGTGGTTTAAATCCTGATGTAGTCCTTATCTAGAGCTGCTTTTGCTCTCTATACTTTTTTGGGTTATTTCCAAGAAATGATTGTCAGATTCAATGTCATTAAGATTTATATTATGGAGAGGAGCAGTGAAGTGATGGCTCAGTGGTTAAGAGCATGTACTGATCTTCCTGAGGACCCAAGTTTGCTCCCTAGAATTTTCATCAGGAGGCTAACAACTGCATGGATCTATAGCTCTATGACATGTAATGCCTTCTGGGTTCTGCAAGCATGTTCACATATGTGCACATGCCACCCCCACCACATAATTTAAAATAAAAAGAATTTTAAGATAAAAAATAAGTTTGTTATGTTTGCTTTAGAGCTTGTACAGATATGGGTTCTATGTTTAAGTCTTTAGCATATTGTGATTTTGATTTTGTGGCCATATAGCACACTGACCCCGTTTGACTCTATTGCATTAGAATATTAGTGTTTTCACACCACCATTTACTGAAGGTATTTTTCTTTCTCTGTTCTGTATTCTGCTTATTCTTTTCAAAGATTGTTGTTGAGAGTTGTGGAACAGACCCATGATCCCAGCATACAGAGAAAGAGGGGGATCAAGAGCTTGAAGGCAGCCTGCATAGCAAGAAGGTTTTAGACCTACCAAGAGAAAGCCTGTAATAGACAAGAAAACAAACCAAGTTTAGTTGACAGATTATACAAAGTTTTCTTCTTGACTTCTTTACTATGTATCTGTTTTGGTGATAATCCCATACTCCTTTGAATACAGTTGTTTGGTATTAAGTTTTGGAATGGGAAAGTGTGAGACACCAAGCTCTGCCCTTGTTACACAAGATTTTTTTTTATTTATAGTCTTTTCTGTTCTATGCAAATTTTAATGTTATTTGTATTCCTAATGAAAAATGTCATTGAGGTGTTGATAGAGTTTGCATTGTATCTCTAGATCACTTTGTGTAGTACAAGACAATTTAAAAAAATAAACAGAGAATGTTATTTGGTTTTCTAATTTCAGTTAAAGTTTTCATCATATATTTCAGGTACTTTTCTTGTTGCTGAGGCTTGATAAAAACTATTTAAGGAAGGAAAGGCTTATTCTGTATCACAGTATTAGTAAATAGTTCATCACTGTGAGAAAGTCATGGAATCAGAAGCAAGACGAGGCACCTGGTCACATTGCACCCAATCAGGAAGTAGAGTGAAATAAATGTGTGTGCTATGATCATATGCTCTCTCTTTAAAAAAAAGTTAAGCCCAGAGTCTCACCCCGTGGAACGGTGCTGTCCACATTTAGAGTGGAAATTCTCTCCCAAATTAACTTAATCCCCTAAAAGACACATACACTGGTCTGTTTTCATGGTGAGCCTAAATCTCATCAAATGGGCAAACCATCACTAGATGGTTTGTACCCAAACGCTTGACTTTGTACCCAAACATTTGACTTTGAAGCTGTAACCTTTGATTGATCCCTTGCCCCCATAGCCTCATGGAAATTTCACATACTAAGTGTGTTCTGTCCATCTTCAAGAGTCCGTGTAATCCCAATAGTTCATACATTGTTTAAAAGTGTAAATACAAAGTCTTTTCTGAGACTTGGGTGTGGCCAGAAATTTCTCCAGTCCTGCCTTGCCCAACAGTCTGGATGAATCTCTCCCACCTGCAGGTCCCACAGTTGCTCATAAAATAATTACTTGGAGGCTTATATTAATTACAAACTATATGACCTATGGTTTCAGCTTCTTGTTAGCTAGCTCTTTCATCTTAAATTAACCCATTCTTATTAATCTATATGTTGCCATATGGTAGTGGCATTACCTGTCTGCTGGCATCTTGCTGCTTCTTGGGCAGTGGCTGGCATCTCTCCCCTACTCTCTTTTCTTCTTCCTGTCTCTGTCTTGGATTTCCTGCCTGGCTATAACCTGACTTACCATAGACCAGAGCAGCTTCTTTATTAACCAAGCTAAAATCCATAGCAATGTAAAACATTTTAAACAAATTGTTGCTCTTTAAAAGTAGATTCAACAATCTACCCTTTTATCCTATCATATCTATATCATATCCCCTTTTATTCTTTTAGAGATTGCATTTATAATCAACCGCCTTTAAATAAAAATAAACATTTATAAACAATATTTTGGGAATTTGGGTATAGCATCTCTTACTACTTCCTGCTGATTGGGGGCACTGATAATCTTATAGGGATCCTAAAAAAATTAAGAATTATAGTTAAATCTTGGCTGTAGTCTGTGAGGATGGATCATCTCAGCCAGTTGCTTTGAAGCTTATTTTGGATGTTGAATCATCTGGGCCATGCTATCATCGAAGACTTTTCAGGGCATCTTGGCTGATCAAACCTTATTAGCATGGTAACAATCCATGGGTTCTCATCTTCTGTGGAAACAAAAGCAGAACTTTTTTCCAAAGCAATGTATCCTTAGACACAAATTTTGAAGTTGAGGTACCTTTAAAATATACATATTGGTTTAACTGGTTAGCCTTTACAATCAAATGTCCTTTTTGCAGTTAAAAATCCCAAAGATAGTATAATCTAGACTCTGTGTGATTTCCATCTATATATGGCTTACTTTTATATTATTTTTACTGTCTCTTTAAAGACTTTATTTTTTAAAATTATCTATTTCTTTATATAACTGTGCTTGGCTATAACCTGACTTGCTGTAGGCCAGAGTAGCTTCTTTATTAACCAACCATAGCAACATATATTCACAGCATACAGAAAAATATCCCACAGCACTTGGGTAATCTCATAAAGTGAAACCCTATTAGGACCAAATATATAGGTCCAACTTACAATGGCACAGATTCAACATTTGTATTCCAAAAGGGAAAATGGAGCATGTCAAGGAATGATCAGACCAAAGCAAGACT